ACGACGGGATACAAAGATAAAAAACATTCTCTGATTGGACAAGTTTCAAAGGGCGAATTTGGCGCGAAAATGTTCTTGAAAATGGAACGGAAGCGGTGATTGGCTAATTTCGTGAAAGGAATGTTGTTCGTATGTGGGCAGCCGTTTCTTTGGGGGAGCGTCGCGTGACATCCCAAAAAACGGTTGCGGAGGAGACTTTCGTAAACATCGATGTTTTTCAATTGGCTAACTCAGCAGTATTCGTGCGTACGCGAGCGCACTTATATTAGTTCCACGGCAGCATAAGGAAGTCAGTCCCACGGACGGGTGTCAATTATTGGTCTAATAATAATAATAATAATAATAATAATAATAATAATAATAATAATAATAATAANTAATAATAATAACAATAACGATAACGATAATGATAATGATAATAATGACTTTATTATCGTGTCAATTACATCTAGCAGTGGAGAATCCCCGCTGCTAATAGGGGACACGTAACTAGAGCTATCTAAGAATAATATACAGAAAAGTCCTATAAGAGAAATTAAAATTGTGTGTTATAAAGTTTTTACTGAGTCATGGCAGTCGTCGATACTCGTCAGAGTGCATGATGTTAAGGTCAGTTATAATATTACAGTATTATTTTATGAGTGCGATGATCATACGTTGATTGAAATTAACGTACACTATTATCAAACTAAATAAGGTCGTATTTCTAATGGAATGGCGAACTAGAAGTAATGATGACGGCGCCGTAGCACATTTGTTACTACGGTTTTGGTACATTTCCATGCGGTATTGCGTTTTTTTACGTTTTTAACACGGTTTTGCGGCTTTCGGACACCCCTTACGCCCCCCTCAGAGAGCTCAGTATTACCAACCAACTACGCATATATATGCGTAATTAATGGTCGTGCTCTTTGTACCACTTGTGACGTCATCGATTTAAATGTCATCAGATATTCTTGATAAGCAGATAGTAGTACTAGGCTAGGCCTTTCCGCACAATGGTCAGGTTTAGATATCGACGACATTCCCACGTCGCAAATCGAAAAACAACGTTATCAGTTTTGGTGCAAAAACGGTGGTAAAATGGTCCACTACGCCTATGATTGATCAAGGTCCATTTCTAGGCTTCGCTCGTAATTAACATCCAACTTTTCACGGCAGCCAGAAGGAACATGCAACGCAAAAGGTAGCCAGTGTAAAAGGGCCGAGAAAAACAGAAAGGAAAGGGGCAACAAACA